CTCCCGACTATCGCAATCTTCACCAAATTTTTTTTTTTCTCGAATGTTCCTTTCTCTCTCCAAAAACCCAGCAACCCAAAGATCCTTTACCACCTGATTTCCTTTTTGGACTCCCAGATTCTCATAGTCAAAACAAGGAATCTTTGATTCCCGGACATCTCTCCCCCCAATATGTTGTGGAGAGTTTTCCCTTCCAGCTTTTTTGTTGGCTTTTGTTTCTCCTTGCTTTGTGCAAGGTTTTGTTTCTCTCCCTAGCCCTAGCTTGGGATAGGATTTCTCCATGTTTGTTGCAGGGTTGTGTACCATTAGGTTCATCTTCTCTAAGGCTTAGGGGTTACTTTTCTGGAGGTGAAGTCATTCAACTCACTGGATATCTTTGATTTTTGGTGTTGGAGACCTGGTCGAGAAGAGATTGTGCTTGGATACTTTCTTAAATGTTGGGAGTGTTGGAGAACTAAACCAAGATATGCATTCAAGAAGTTTCAATATGCTATTATGTTGAGTCTTTTCTTATTCTCGGATTTAATAAGTTCATGTATAAGTGAATTGAATAAATTATCAATTCAGTTTTATATATTAGTGGGTTGATGAAGAGTCTTTAATTATTAGGAAGTATTAAGATGCGAGAGTGGGTTAAACGGTTATGATAAGAGAAGTCTTTAAATAGGTCCTTTATCATTGTATTGGGGTCTTTTTTCGTCGGAAGGCTTGGCCGAGCTTGTTGATTCTTAGACCGTCATAGAGTGGTGAATCAAGTCTTTGTTGCCCTTTTTTCCGAGTTAGCGAGAATTAGGCTCAAAACATCCCGAAGGAGAAACAAGTCCTAGGGGATTACTTTGTTGTGTTAACAGTATTGTTACTGAGAAAGAGTAGTCACATGTTTAGCACGTGAGTGTTAGTTAGAATACTTAGAGGAGAAGAAAGTTAGTTAGTTATATAAAGATGAGCTTAGGCTCTGCTTAAGAAAAAGGTTGCATTGTAACAGATTTGAGATAACAGAAATTAAACAGAGCTCTTTTCTTCCTCTCTCTCCCTTTGCTTTCTCTGTCTGAACTCAAACCCTAGATTCTATTTCTCCATGGTTATCATGGTATCAGAGCTTCGGCTCTTTGATTCCTGATCCTTTTCGCTTCCGCTCCACTATATCACAATCAATTTCTGAGATTCCGGCTCGACTCGAAATTACATCAATGGCAGTTCGTTGGATGAACACGCCTCTTTCCAGTCTGATTTTATTTCTAGCGATTCTGCAAGTGTTCTTCGCTAACTTTCTTCGTGCATTGTTCTTCTTGACACAGTGATCTCCGATATGATGTTTCTGAATTCAATTGCTGTTTACGCATGATACAATTTTATTAGAAGCACGAAGCATATTCTGTATTTTTGTTTTGGAGCACGAAGCTGATTTCTCTGCATAATTGAAGCACGAAGCACTTGATCTATTTTCTTTCTCTGCACACTTGAAGCACGAAGCATTTGCTCTGGTCTCTTGAAGCACGAAGCTCCTTTTCTGTTTCCTGAATTCGTTGACGCACTAAGTTCTTCTATCTGCCTATTGAAGCACGCATTTCTCCACTCTGCCATGACTATTCCTGTTTCGAAAATTGAAACCTTACTAGGTGTTTTGACTATTAAGTTGAATGAAGATAATTTTGTGAAGTGGAACTATCAGTTGGAGTCTGTTCTTCAAAGATACGACCTATACAGTCATTTTGATGGCACATCTGTGTGTCCATCAAAATATGTCATCACTGAGTCTGAAGGAGTGACCACGGAATTAACTGAGGATTATCGTCACTGGATTCAAATTGATAAATCTTTGCTTAGTTTGCTTATTGCAACTCTGTCTGATGAGGCCATAGAGTATGTCATTGGTTGTAAAACAGCCAGGGATGCATGGTTAAGCCTTACAGATCGGTATGCTTCTGTCTCAAGGGCT